TACCAAAGTGCTTGACGACGAATGGGAACAGCCACAGTTGGGCGATCATGGAGTACACGCCTTGCACGGCGAGCATAAACCCGATGGTTTTCGTGGCCATTCCCAGGCCGCCGGTAAACTTGAGGGGTAGCACTACATCGTCATCGGATCTCGGTGTGCTCAGTAGAACTGGCATCAGCTGATCAAAGGAGACACTGTGGCTGAAATAGGGCAATGCATGTCAGTAAATTGTTTAACTTGTATTCGGGTAGAAGGGTGTGGCGTTGAAGAGCGGGGAAAAAGAGAGCCAACTCACTATGCAAGAATGCCGTAAGCAATGATAGCGAGAATGACTTGTCGGGTAAAGGCCTTGGGCGCGGGGCTCTTCTGCCCCTCCAAGTCACAATCAGCCGAAGCGCTGTCATCAACGGGACGCAGGCAAGGCGATGATTCGGCAGTTTCGTATCCAGGCGGTGCATCAAAGTACTTTTCCTTGACATCCACGTCGGAATCATCGGGAAGCTGCACGCGCGAGCCCCAGCACAGGTTGACCAACCAGTGGCCGAGTTCGAGACCGGGATCACGACGGTGCTTCTTCTCCGGGTGCGTCTCCTCCAAAAACAGGAAACCGACTACGATGCCGCAAACCAACACGGTGATGCAGACGAGGTTGGGCAGCAGGAACGGGAATTTATCCCACAGCGTGCTGCGCGCGAAGAGGGCCGGGTAGTTGTCGCAGGGCTGGGCCAAAGCGCCGCCCATAGCCGGTCCAATGATCGATCCCAGACACCACACGAAAGGCATAATCGAATAAGCTCGTGGCTGATGCTCTTTCTTCGTGACGATCTCCGCAACTGTCGTCTGGAGGACCCCGATATTGCCGTTCAACATGCCGCCCAGCGCGCGCGCAATCATCGCTGTGGCCAGGTTGGGCGCAAATCCAAATACCACCATGCTGATGGCCGTGCCCACGAGGCCCATGATGAGAACTGGCTTGCGACCAATCCGGTCACTCATACGGCCCCAGAACATGCCCGCGGAAAATTCAGCAAAGGTGAATGAGGAGGTGATCATGCCGGCGTACAGGGCGATTTGGCGGTCGTTATCCGTCACATGGAATGATTCGACCATGTGATACACGTATGGGAAAATTGACATGAAAGCAATTGGTTCACAGATTCGGACGAGTGCTGCATCACATTCGTCAGCAATTAAGATCACTCATAGGTTGTATAGACATGGTTTGCGGCGCATTTTGCGGCTACCATATCTTGGTTTTTGTTTTTTTCATAGTTCGCAGAACAAAAGTACCAGAACTTACCTAACACAAATAGTTGCCGAATTGGGAATGTCGAGAAGTCATCGCCAGAGCCATTGCGGGAGCGTCGACCCTGTAAACAGGCTGGTCGTTGAAACATTGTGAAGTTAAGAGAAAAGTCGAAGTGTCGAAAAGGGCTGAAAGTAGACAAAAAGGGGATTCCACAGAGAGGCTTCAAGACACCCCGCTTCCCTTTTAGATTGTATAGCTCAGGGAGAAAAAAAAAGAGCAGGACCAAAGTACCGGATAAAAGGTGCTTTTGTTTCCTTAATTTCCCCAGAGTCCTGTGTAAAAGGGAGAGAATGTAATAGTGTAATTGGAGCAAGGAGCAGCGTCTTTTGGTTTTAGGGCTTCAGCATTGCTCCCCCTGCGGTTGGAAATGTCTATCAAGATCCGATAAGGTAGGGTGGAAGATTGCGTATGAGACACCTGCAAGGGAGTCCGGAGAGTTTATAGAAGAGGATCGGAGGTTGGGGCTGAAGAAGGAAAGGGTCTATAAAACCCAAGAGTAAAGATGGTCCAGAGTAGATAGAAGAAAGTCCAGGAAACAAAAAAAAAAACCATGGGAAAGGGGAAGCTATTATAATAAGATTGACAGTGGATAGGTCTATAGAAATGATCAGGCGCCAAAGAACTAAAACGTCAACCGTTCAGCATCACAACTAAACATTTCGGTTACAGCTGTACAGTATGCAGTTGGCAAACATTGGATCAGGATAAAGACGAACGAAGTGGGTCAGATTTTCTTTATTATTGTAATTGTAATTGTAATTGTAATTATATTATTATTTTTTAATTTTAATTTCCTATATTTTCATATTATATATATATATATATATTTTCAATTAATAAAAATAAAACCCTTTATTCTATGTGGATCTGAGGTAGAAACCTGACATTTCCGTTAAGAAGAGTAGGGGGAAACGGAAGAATCCCCCCGGAGGTAAGGAAAGGGGGTGGAACCAATGGGAAGAACTCGGTACATCGTCATCCTTTTTGGATATATTTGAGTGTATTTGACTTATTTGACGTATTTTATTTGAATTTACCTTTTATTCGGGAACATATTGTCCCGGAATTCGAAGAGGAAAATAGGAAATAGGAAATATTATAGGGAAAAAAAAGGACATGGTCTAATGGGGATCAATCAGATCGGATTTTGAATTGTAACACTAGCACAAAAATATAATAAATACCTAATTAAAAAATGAAAGTTTAAGTACCATCTTTGATTCGACAGATCCATCCCCCAGATCCAACAAGAAAAAGAATTTAAAAAAAAAGAGACTGATACCAAAATGATTTCCTCGAGACCCACGGTCCTAAGCACCGGGCCCCCGGGGAACGACATTAGGCCTACCCTAGTCTCCTAAGAGGAGGCGCTAAAATGATACTTCACCCGTATGGCGTAAGGAAGATCGATTTTTTTTTTGTTCCCAGAGTTGTGGGTTTAGTGCAAATTAGTGAGATGATAGATCTCGCCTTATAGCTCTGTGGTATCTCTGCGCCTCCCCGAGACCTATATACTAGTATGAACCTACTCCGTACATCGCATATGGAGTCCAAAAATAAAGGTCAGATTGAAGAGGTAATTAAAATTGGTTTAATTTAAAAAAAAATTCCCTTCTCCTTTTCCGTCTCTACAACTGTGTACTTCGTACTCTGTAACCAAGACCAAACATGATATCGTCATACTCTCCACTCATTGGAAAGGGAAACCTAACAGGTTATCCACTCTTCCCAGATGGCCGGGATGATCAGGAGCATCTGTACTTTCCTAATAAGTTGGGAACCAGCTGATTGGGTCGAAATATAGGTGAACCATGTTTAGGATATACAACTGGAACAAGATGCGGTGTACGATGTACCGTCTCAAAGGGAAACCCTAAGTAATATTGAGCGCCATCCCGTCTATTGTTTCATTGTTGAATGTCACAAAAACCGTTTTCAAGTGCCCCAGAACCCAAAATTCAAAGTGTTTCTCTTTAATCCCGCCATGCCGGTACAGAGTACGGAGTACAGATGGAGCCGATGGAGTTGAACCGGTATAGAAAGAGAAGCTATTGAAACCGTCGGGGATGCGACGATCATCCTGTCAAGGTAGAATACACACCGTTCTAGTAAAATATACTCTCTAGGCACTATAATGTGGATTTTTTGATTTTTGAGACCTTCGAGAAGACTTCGGGGAATCAGCTGAGCTTGTCAAAAATTCACCGACACTCCCGAGCCCCATCTATTGGCCGTTGGGCGTCGATCGGTGACAGGGGAAAACAATGCCGCCCCTTTCCCCCCTTTATAACTGTCCTAGAAGACACCAGCCATTGTGGCGAAGTTAGGTGGAGAGCTGAACCGCGATTCCGCCCGAACTACATTCTTGCTCTCTGTATTCTATACTCCATATGTACTTTTTTGACTTTTGATCTTTACAATGCAAGTGGAATCTTTCCAAAAGTCGGTAAAGTGCCGACCCAACAAGAAGGGACTGCATGAGACCCAAGGGGCTGGGAATAAGTGGGACCATTATTTGTATTCGACACAGTTTCTACATATGTACTCTGTATGTACCTTATATACGGAGTACTCCGTGGGAGAAAAAAAAAGAGATGCGTTAGGTTTATTCTCCTGTACGACAGAAAAGTTGACTGGCCACGCGAGGGAGTGGGTAAAAAGCCGGTGAGAAGTCATAAGAGAAAAAAACAAAAAACAAAAACACAAAAACACAAAAACACAAAACACAAAACACAAAACACAAAAAAAAAACAAACCATAAAGAAAACGTCATACTAAAGTATGGGTTAGCGGCTTGAGCCTCTCAGGGGTGCACCTGGTAACTAGGATATGCCAAAGGAGGAAAGCCAAGGAACGGTGTGAGCAAGACATTGTAAACACGACTGGGGCTCCTGCAACCTGCAAAATTCCCCTTGATTTTTTTTTTTTTTGGTTTTTACAACCAGTCATACAAGATGCCAGATCATGATGTTATTTTCGGTCCTTGAACAGTAAATGTATGCTACTCGATTAGATAGCAGGGTGACCGTGCCTAGCTGATAATATGCAAATACAAGCTCCTAGGGTCTGACAGGGTGTTTGACAAATCCTTCTATGCATGAAATACCTAAATACGTCGATCGCAATGCATGCATTCCTATCGAGGGAGACCATTGGTTACAAGGGAGGTGGGAGCGCTTGAACAATGACAATCGTTGAGATGTCCGATACGCGAGTCGCAACCCAACAGTGAAAGAGCCCGACGTGTTTTGGCGCGGATATAGCGGTGACCGTTGTTCAGGAAACAAAGCCCGTCATCTCTCCATGCCATGCATCACGCGACTGTGCACTGCGGTAGCTCCGTCAGCGACAGTCGTGTCTACCTTGATATCCATTCGGACTGTTCGGAAGAAGGATTGCGACCCAACGGTCGGAAATTATAGGCTGCTTTTCTCTTTGTTTCATACATATTGCGATTGAAATCGGGACGGAGATCATGTGAGTGAGCTTCCATTTTTCTACCCTGCAGCCAACCGAATCACCCATGTATGGTGGGGTAGAAAAATCCCTTGCTCAGTTATCTTCCGATTCTCGCCAGTTTCGAAAGAGAGGAGGGGGAATATACAGCAGAAGTGACCCTGTCTGCATCAACAACCTTGGTCTGCTAATAACCGGTTTCAAGCGGTGTGTCTCTTGGCTGCATTCATGTTGGTTATCTGCTGCAGAAGATCCTTTGACGTCTCGCCTCAAATTCTCCCTCGGGTACTTGTCCCTGGCATCCCGTGAGTGACTCGGTAGACTGCAAGCCCTACATGGGTATTGTTCTCACAGCCCCATCATTTGCGTCTGCACCGCCGGTAACCTGTCCGACTATGATCGTCGAGGATTTTCGATGGCCATTGCGATTTGGACCGACATTGCGCATGTAGGCCATGTCGATATCCAGACCCGCGGTTATTATTGCCCAAAATCAAGGAGCGTCGCAAAAGACGGTGAAGTGCGTTACAAGTCAACAAACGCCGTACTGATGGAAGTCACGCTTCATGACAGCGACTTATTCGTGATGATGTCCTTGATAACGCCCTAGATAGGTTTCACTAGATCTTCCGACTTCGGGAGCTGCTTGGTCACAGCGTTGGGTATGATATGGTTCGATCGGTCTGATTCGGGCTTAATTTCACATGCGATCATATACCAACCTTCTACCACATTCCTTATGATGCCCTTGATATTTCCTTCATTCCAAAGTGAGCAAGATATTGCATCACGTCGGAATAATACGCCTCAACACTTCCCGGTCGAGACCAATGACAAGGGGGCGGGTTCAGCTTCCATAGCACACTATCTCTGCCTCGTCTATCGCATAGCCCCGAGGTCCAGATCCTACACTCCCAACGACGACTGAAGGGGCTTGTCGGCCCACAGGTTCGAGTACCATGAACCTGACTAACTTGGCAAGATACGATGCCCTTAAGGATACAGCCGCGTTTTCGAATAGATCAGTCGATTGTCATTGATCTTTTTTTTTTTTGAAGACAACGCTAACCTATCCCAATCCAGACACAAGGGTCCATGATCCACACAGAACCGCAGCTGCCGCACCATATTGTCGGGTTCTGACAGTCGCAAGATCCCGAATGGCCGAAGTGTGGCGCCGATTGCCCCTCAACAATCAAATGGATGAAAATAATTCCAAGTCAGGCGGATAATGTTTCCTGGCATATAGGAAAGCTTTCTTTTGGACCTATCTAAATTCTAAATTAGGCAGAGACCTCGGGCAAAGTTGCCACAGAAACTAGGGTGCTTAGACTTTTTTTGGTGCGGCATCCCTTTCTGTGCCGTGATAGTTGACGGGAAGAAAATTCAGTTGTGTGATGTATCAACTTTCGGGGTGACTCCCGTGGGCCGAATTCCATCACTCAAAATCTAGATCTTCAATGACATCGAAATCAGTTGGGACAAGGAAAAAGGGGTACACATTAAATTGGGGCGAAAACAAGGGCTCAAACGAACATGCCCCTCTCGATGGTTGTCCCAAAATTGTACATACAAAATACACACATCAATGTAGGTGATGAACATTGCAGATTACTCTGATTCCATTGTTTTCAGGCCTATTGCAATCGCGATTTTTCGCTTAATTCAGATAGATGCAGGTTTCTTTTCCTAATTCAAATCAGAATCAGGCTCCATGTCTTGCTATCTCGGTAAAGCGCCACCGGTCGTGCTGTCCTTGCAATGTGTACAGAGTACGGAGTATATGCTTTAGACGGGAACTCGTAGCTTCACTGTAGTTCCCCCGATCGATCGAGACAACAAAGTTTGAGCTTAATCTCTATGCTAAATGTCAATATAATTCATTCCTCCTTTTGCTTCCAACCTGGAAGCTTGTGCTAAATGTACTCGCGATCGGTTACACGATGCATTCGCCTGTCTCTTTTTGGAGATCGCTGAATCGAAGTCATAGTCTCCATGTCGGATTTTTGCTACCTTTGATTCTAGACATTGGTGGGACCTTACTTAGCAACACTGGAGAGTGCATACAGACTACATTGTACATCCATGGATAGCTGAATGTTCAATCTTATTGTTTGGACTGATCATCATTTGACATTGTGAAAGCGCCACATTTATAATTACCGATCTAGGATTTTATGGCTTTGTACTAGATCCCGGAAGGTTGGGGAAGATTGGAATTCTAAAGGTTGTTTTTTAAGACTACTTACATGGAGTAAGTGACAGGTGTACTTTTGTAGAATCGGCAAAGCGTATCCGAAGCAAAGTACTCATGCATAATGCATACGATGTATGTTGTACAAATTTGACAGTCAAGGTCAGGACCCAGCTGGCTTTAGAGGCTTGCTGCCTTGCGTGTCTCTTTTACTCCATAGTTGTGTCCCGAGAAAAGCTGAATTCTGGCGCTGGTCCGGCAGCTGAACGGGATCTCCGCGGGCCAATAAAACCTCTAGATTGCCTTTTTTTCTCGGTGTCCCCGCCAGGCAAACCACGGAATTACAAGCTCAGTTCCACGGTACTAAGTTAAGGATATATGGAGTACATTAGGGTCTCCCGAAATTTCTCCCAGAGAGGGGTTAATGTAAAGAATGTGTGGTATTATACGGAGTACCCATATTACAGTCCGATCTCTTTTATCTTTTCTATTTCCTTGACCAGTAGGAACGATCACCCTTATCCCCACCTGTGGCAAGCGGAATGTATGGATCCGGTGCCGCGGTGACGGGTACAATACAAAAGTTCCGCGAGTGGACACGAATCACATCTCGTCTTTCTCAAAGATTTTCACACTATCGATTCTACTTGTGATCATGTGAACATTCTTGTTCCTTTGAAACCTTTATTCCGTTTTTCTTTGTTTCTGATGGGGCTTTTTTGTGGCTTTTTTTGGTTTTATTTTTTTATTAATTTCCTTTTGCCCCCGCAAGGTACCGGGGCACCCGAGTTCCGCGGACTTTTGGTCTCTCAGCTGGATACGTACAATTGCTACGTACTTTGTCACCTTGCTTCATGTACTTCGTAACTACCTCCTCTGAACTCTCTGATGTGATCCAGATCGATTTCCCCTGCAGCGGTCTAGGCACCGACGAATGCTGATTTCATAGCAGTCACGTGTAGTCTTACCTCTTGCAGTAGGTGGATTCCGCGGTGGTATGAAGCTGAAAATAATTGAAGTTCAGTAATATCATTTGGAAATGTCAAGGTCGTTTGCCTAATGATTCGTGGGTTACCCAACACTTGATATGTTCTTCAACATATCCTGTATTTGGAGATTGTACCCAGATGAGCCTCACACCTTCAGAACATTGATAACCCTCAAGCCAACCAATAAATAAACAACATCTTCTCGTCCTTAACTGGACTTTTACTCAAATCAATACTTCTGTTTAAATAAAACTAAGTGCCAAAAGTTTTTATCGCACCTAGACTTTAAGCGATAGCCCCTGTTTGATATAAACTCCATACCATTATTTTGCAAGTAGCCAAAACAAAAATTAGTCGGCCGCTTGTACGGCCTTCGTTGCTGACGACAAGCTGGGACTTTGATGCTTCGAATATCCAGTTACTTCAATAAAGGTGATATTACTCCGGACAGGTATTATACAAATATTCGGCCCACGTAAACTGCAGAATGATATCCAGAGGGCATCAAGCCTATAAAACAAATCCTCCATATATAACCCTTGATATGTAACTAGTTACCCCGTACATATTATTAATTAATATGCAGAGTGCAGAGTGCCTACTAAAAGTCAATTCCGTAGATCATCCAATACGATATCAAGCCTTAGTCCCAACAACCAGACTGTATGCATGAACACCCACATTTGGAAAGTTTACTGAAATGTGGGTGAACTCTAAAGTTTCGCCACTGATCATCATTTCCAGATAGAGTCCTGGTACGAAGTACTCGATACAAAACCCAAATAATCTTCGAGTACTAAACCTCCCAGCAAAAGTACAACAGACTTCACCTATCTAGTACTTTTGCTTGCTGCCCGGGGCCAAGATGGGATCGTCTCCCTGACATGTACTTCCTAGATGTGACAGCGGATCACAGATTCCTGCCTGTTGTAGATTTGACGTGAGAGCTAGGGCCCGTGGACCAATCAACCCCCATAATACCATCCTCGATGATATATCCACTACACGCCTTGCTCCGTATATGCCATTCATTGATACCGCGAAGATGGAAGCTTATCCAGTTGCACTGGACTGACTTCAATTCCAAATCTCAAATTCCAAATCATCCCTCATGTATGGCTACCATGCTATGGTCTCTTAACTATGTCGTACTCTGTTGCTCCATACTTTCGAGTACTACTGCCGTTTACTGGTATTGTGCATGAATATATGCAAGTCCATGTATCTCGCGTTCCTAGAACTAAATTAAATTCAAATAGATGTAATCATAATCGCCACAGATGCTGACAGGCAGACAAATTCAAACATGACTTCTGGGCGAAAAGTAATACTTACAAGTGTGACAACTGCCTTAAATCACGAGAAAAGAAAAGACAACAACAGAAGATGATGTCCCAGAATTCGTTTCTGGGGGTTGTAGGTCAAGAAGGATTTCTGTCGTTTATTGTTTGGTTGTTTGGTGCTCAGATGCTAGTATTGGAATAGAGATAATTCTTGCTTTACATGTAGAACTTATCGCAAATACCAGACTTGATTCAGAATATTCATATCGTCCGCTGCGCAACATGGTCATAACTTCGAGTACCTCCTGCCCCCCATTACTGATCCTCTCCGCGGAAGAACAAGATCAACGCCGTCCACAGCCATATAGGGAACTCTCACCAACTCCGATCTCCCCAGCCTCGCACCGAAATCAATTCCGTATAAGTCTAGATCCGAACAGCTTGTGATTGTGAGATTAGTCGAGCCAAATAGATCCGAGCCAATGAAGATAGACTTCGGCGATATGACGCGAGTTGATTCAAGCCGTTGATTGAGATTCAGTGATGGCTTCGCATATGCCAGTAAGCAATTTCGTTGGATCGTGGGTAGACTTTTGTTCTTACATGTCTAAGGATTCGCACAGGAACTTGGTTAGAGAGTAGACGACCGTATTTCCAAGTTAGGTCGGTGAGGAAGGAGTGGGGAGCAAAGGTGTAGGAGCGATATACCTCTCGTAGAAGGCAAACAAGAAGAGCATCGAGAATCCTAACTAACTAACAATCATAGCAGTTAGTTATATAATCCGTGCCCCAGCCGTTAGGAGCCTCGCTAGCGATATCAAATAGAAGCTCAACTAGGATAAGTCCCGCTGTAAAGATAAAAACTCCGATTACTATATGAGGTATTAGCTTTATATAGAAGAACCAATTAGTAGTTAGAAATACTTATAATCGAACTCGAGAGCCTAAAATTAGACGCTTTGAAGGAAGGATCGTCCGCTATTCTCTCTGATAACCACGGCATTTCCCTTTTTAGCTTTTGATAGATTGAACTTTAGGACGAAGAACAACGGAGTAGCTACGATAGGGAAGATAATCGCGAAAGTGCTGTAGGACTATCGCTAGCTGGTATTAGCGTAGAGTAGATCAGCTACCTTTAGTCTAGCAAAGGCCGTAATAATATACAGAGAAGACGTGAAAGCGTTATAGTTATAAGAGCTCGGTTTTAAACTATACTAGATCGGCGGTGATAACGTCTACGGCAAATTGTATGCCTCTGAATCCAATATTGTAAAACATCTAAATTTCCTATTAGTACCTACTCAATATTTTAAATATATACCCGATGTTTCTTACATTTGCGGCGTAATAGACAGAGGAACTATTATAAGAGGCTATGGGAACTAGACCCACGGTGGCACAAATCGACATTACCAGAAACCCTTCGGCTTGACCCCAAGTGACAGATCTTCGAGCTACCACAGCAACGACTTGGATGCGGCCAAGATTAACAGTGCCGACTCTTTGCCAAACTCTACCAGGCAAAATGGCAATGGCAAGAAGAGGAACTGTCTGAGCAGGACATTCTTCAAGGCTGTCTCCCTTAGCCCTGATGGGTCGATGATGGCGACTCCCGTCGTGACTCAGGGGTTCAATCTTCGTCTGAGGGTGTCGGTATTCTCTGAGTTCGTGAGTTCATCGGTGTTGCGTTGGCGACCATTTACCGCCATCGCTAACCGACTAGATTTATGTGCGAGGTATCCATGTCTTTGGAATCTAGCACGAGTAATCCCAGACCAGACAAGTGCATAGAGAAGACAGTTGGTAGTTAGTGGCAGACAGTCTGCCGCGAAGACGGTGTCTCATGGCATCGATATGGGCAATCGGGATGGAAAATAACTTGGAAAATCTTCCACAGGCATGTAGCGAGCAGCAAGCCCTGTGTATTATTGTTCGATAAAGCCTTTGTCGATCAGATGAGGTGTAGTGTTGCCATTCCAACGCATCTTGAGAAAGGGCCGGCTGTCTTGACTCGGCTGTGTTGGAAACATGCGACCGCATATCCAGGGCATCTGTTCCGAAACCATGTCCAGACCATGATGGATACCATGGATGATTGACGGTCAATTCTGGAGTTGAAAATGGCCAAAACGCTGAGACGTAGACCTTTGGTCTAAGAAGATCTAGCGGTGTCATCCGCTCAACGTTCGAAAAATCGACCATTGTATGAATGTTCAGCCTAAATCACAGACATGACCGAGAGAAAAAGAAGTGTTGACAGCAAATTACGAATTATTTTGTATCATCTATAGCTATAGGTATAATCCTAGGCAGGCACCTTTCCCCGCAGGCTGTCTACCCGAGCACACCATTCTATTGTTTTGATGATCGGAGTCATACAAATTTCCCTGTAGCCTATATCGAATGCCAGCTGTCCACATTTTGCCTTGAAATATGAGGTCTGGAAAATTAGTCTCGGACACGCGGCCCTATCCCTGTATACTTATGCCTCAAAGGCAGCAACTTAACATGGTGCTTTAAATTGAGCTCAACCCTACCCAACTCTACTTTATGACCATCTTCAGTGAATCTATCAATTCCACTTCAGCTTGAAACATGTCGGTTCGTGGCCCCCATACAATCAATCAACCTCCGATTTTCTAACTGATAGATGTTTATTTAGCTTCCATCAGGGTATGAATATGACTTCAAACGCATCAAGGGTTGAAAGTATGCAATTGCTAACCCATGATATGATATAGGGTCTCCATTGCGGATGATTGCATCACTGCATTTAGGGAACTTAGGTCCCAAAAGAGTTCAAAAAAGCCCAGGTTCATCATCTACAAAATTACGGATGATTACAATGCCGTTATTGTAGAAGAGAGTTCGCCTGAGCAAGACTACGAGGTCTTTCGTCAAAAGCTAGTCTCCGCAGTTAACACCGAAGGGAATCCTGCACCTCGTTATGCGGTCTATGATGTTGAATATGACCTTGGATTAGAGGGGAAAAGGTAAGATCATCATTATTGGATCTCGGCTTCGGGTTAATATCTGACATGCCATAGAAGCAAAATCGTCTTCATCACCTGGGTTCCCAGAGAAACATCAACTAAGGTATGCCACCGTTTGATGACTTCCTTTTGGATTCTTGCCAATCTTATGGTTCTAGGTTCGAATGATTTACGCTAGTACGAAAGAACAATTGCGGAGATTCCTCGATACCAAAGCATCGATTCATGCAGATGACCTCGACGAGCTTGAATGGAAGACTGTTCTGAAGGAGGCCAGTGATGGCAAAGCCTGAGTTATGATAACAGCAGTTATTTATTTGTCGATTGCCAAATATGAAACCCATTCATAAGGTCTTTCCTCTTTGATAACTCTAAGCTCCATGTAACTATAACCAGCTTGGGATCATACCATGGACAACATTACGTTGGAATGTGTCTTGGCTTTGCCACTTTTTGAAATGGGGTACGTCCATAAACATAAATTTTAAGGGTAAACAATATCTCCTTCGGACTAGTGCGTTACTTGTTTTCATTTGCTTTTCGATAAAGACAGGATTCATCGATCAACTGATCGCTGGCAACTTTCGACAATAAAAGAGACACAAAAACCCGAGATGCATTCAGAGACGACAGTAATTTATGGATTAGAACTGATCGTTCACTGTTTCTTGAGAAATACCAGGCTCCTTTGAGAATTCCTGCAAGTTCTGTTTGGGCTTGTCGAGATTGTCTTGGGTAAGGCTGTTGAAAATCGTGTCTAGTTTCTTTTTGTTCTGCTGCATCATGAGGTAGTTGACATCCGCCTGGACAACAGTATAGGTCATGTAGAATGTGAATCGCTCAGTATCCGTCTCGCTGAAGCAAGTTTTGGTGGCGATCTTGAAAGCCTCGTGATCGATTTTCATATAGACGAGATGAACATGAGGCTGGTAGACGATGTGCTGGCCATCGCCGAGGATGTCTAACTTGACGACCGTGTTCGTGCTATTGGCAAAACTCCGCACATTGCTGGTGGAACTGCTGTTGACCTGGATTTTGCCAATCGCAGCGAGGTAGTTTTGGATAAATGTGGCGATCTCGTCCAAGGCCTGCTTGCCCAGTCCAAAGCCTGCAAAGATGTCTTTGGTGAAGACGGTCTTGAACTTATTTTTGGCCACGTTCTTGCTATAGGTGTTCGTGAAGTATTTGGGAGTCTCGAGGTAGCCAGCCAAGCTGGATGACATGACCCCGTATGTCAGATCGGCGATCTCGGCAAAGGCCTTGCTTGCCTCGATAGGGTCGCTTATCTTATAGAACTCCTTGCGACCCTCCTTGCCCATTTTGTCCGCACGTGCGATGTTGAAGTACAGGCTGACCAAACCTTGGATTGACTGAGTCATGTCGTACCGCTCTATCACCTCATCATTATCCTCCACTGGAGGCTTCACAGTTGTTGCTGGAGGTGAAAAAAGCGGTGATTGTTAGACGTTCGAGACCATGCACCATCAATTGGTATAGGCACAATCCCTGCGGATACTCCCACACTGAGGCAATGGAAGATCTGACTCAGTGTGACAAACCGGTATTACAACTCTTTTACTTTTGACCCGTAGAGTCATGTGGTACTATGAGCATAATCCTGTTTGTACAGGGGTATATATTCTCAACTTTTCCAGCAGGTCACTCCGATTCTGTATGATATGACCAGCAAAATGTCTAGCCAAGCCACCGACCAACGGGACTCCAAAATCCCCCCCTAACAACCCCCAGAAGCCACGCTGGCTCTTGGATACCCATGAATGGAGAATTGTTCTCTATACAGAAGTTGCTTCCCAGGTCGAATCAGCGGACGAGGGATATGGAATTGTCTCATACACATGGGGGTATGTTTCTAACATGGAAGTGCCAGCGACGGGAACTCCCACAGGCTTGCTCTGGGATATTCCGACAACTACACTTTGGACCCTGGAAGATGCCAGGAAGATAATGAGCAATATTGGCAGCCGTTATATCTGGTGGGATTGGATGTGTGTTCCGTAGGAGGTCCTGAATGGGACGAAGCCAATTACCCCTATGATGAAGCAGGTGCAGGCAGAGGAGGTTGCAAAACAAGTGTGAGTACCCTCGGATTTTTCTTTTTCAGTTGCTAACTTTCCATTTTTCTTGCTAGACATGTCTACAAGGAAGCCAAAACGAGCATTGTCTGGCTTCATTCGACATCCTGGATTGTCGATTCGCCTATCAAGTCTCTTCTCTTATCGAGCCTAGGCCACGGAAATCATGCACTGGCCATCGTTGACGAGATCTCAAAACATCTCACAACGCCCAGGCTACAGAGCGATGGCTTCTTTCGGGTTGGACACTGCAGGAAGGGATTATGTTGAGTGAAACAAGACTGATAGATGGCGCTGGTCATACGTTGAACAATGACCGGTTTATCCATGGCGGCAAGGCTCGAGTGGTCAACCTCACAGATGTCATCACCGGACTAGCAACTGAAATTGGGAAGGCGTTTGTCAATCAGGCCGATGGAAAGGAACCACAGAGCCAGATTGACAAAGCCATCCGCGGCTCTACCGAGAATTCCGAGAAACTGCTCGACGTTCTCATTCAGTTCGTCAAGTCCGGTCTGGTTTCTTACGCTAAAGACTCGGCGCTCTACATTTTGGCTGGCAAAAAGAAACGATATTTTAGCAGGCCACTCGACGAGTGCTGGGCGTTGCTGGGGGCGATGGGAATCGACGACGTGCAGGTCTCCTACACGCTTTCCATGTGGGAAAGTAAAACGATCTTTTTAAGAGCGCTGATTCGAAAATTTCAATGGTCGATGCTTTTGCTCCCAGATCCCAGTCCAGCTACCCAAACAGCTTTCAAATGGCTACAACTTGTGGACGGCGATGTGACCCCGATTGGCATCTTTGTCGATTCGATGGTCGGGTGGAAAACCTGCCTATCGTATCATATTCGGGTGAGGCGGTTCACATCCAGCCCAATCCTAAAAATGACAAGAAAAGCATTTGTCTGTTCCGGAATCCCCAGATCCAAGCTTTTCGCTATTATCGTCAGGTTGCAGATAAAGTGCGGCTTATATCGTCCACGACAGCGACTCAAGAAGATAAAGAAATTCTGTCGCAGGCGGTATATCTGCCTATGGAAGATCTAGAGATCAGAGAAGAATGTGTGGGAAAGAGATGTGTGGTGATTCAAGGGTTTTATAAGCCACCACAGAGAGGAGAGGTCGGGGTTTACCGCGGCACTATCGATATCTGGTGCAAGAACGCTGTGGAAATTGTCGCAGGTTCCTTACAGCTTGACCCTACGCTCTAAGTCTGTTATCCTGTTTGAACAGATCTCATGTGCTTAATTTGAGGAATATTTAACATCATCCCCGATAGAAGAGTACATACAAAACAAAGGAAGAAAGCTTAGGTGTGATCTTACAACGGCATAGATATACAATAGCAAAGCTTTTATTCCAGCTAGACCAAAAAGTTCAACTAGTGGTAGCTTTATCCTCTGACACAAGGACATAATCAGAAGCATCTGTAAAATTGCTAACTCGGCCCGGGTTAGACTGAACCCCCTCGGCTTCTTCCATTTGTGGCTGTTCCATAGATTGTTCTGCTTGTTGCGAAAGCTTTTGTGTGATAAAGGCAAGTTGTCGAGAAGTTGAGGCTTGCACTTCAAGCAAGTGTTTTATGAGCTCTTGCTGGGTATTTATTTGTTGGTCGGCAACCTCTAGTAGTCTTTCATGCATGTTGAGCCTGTCATTTAAATCGCTGTGTTGTTGAAAAGAGTCGCGGACACTGAGCTGCTCTTGCAAGCTAGTAATCTTTCCTTGAACTATATCCTCCTGTAGTTCAGACTTCCTAAGTCTTTCGTCTTGTCTGCGGACCGTCTCTTTCAAAGTCCTGATCTTGTGCACAATTTTGTCTTCTCGTCCATTATCTCTCTCCAATAGTCCCTTATCCATGTCAGACTGCTGTTCCAAGCTTCCTAGGCATTTCTCGGGCATAGTCAACCCTAGTGGAGTCACGGGCTCCTCAATCCTTTTCGTAATATCTTCAAGCCACTGTTCAATGTTCATTTTTTGCTCTGTGGCATAGACACCGCTTGCGACTGTATCACGCTTTCTCTTGGATGTGGATATTGAGTTTGGACTGGTTGTGAAATATTGCTTTCGGGTCGATAAAGAGATATCACAGAAATGTAGTCAAGAGAGTGGGTTAGAAAGAGTCATCACGACTTCAAAAGCAAAAGTTCAAGTTGATGACAAGTCCCCGAGTAATAGTTGACAGAAAACTGGCGTACGAACAATGTTTGGTACAGAGGACCAATGTTGAAGACTCAACTAAATTGACAAAACCCGCTTTTCCAACAATCTGTGCGGACCATGATGACTAACTGTAATATGCACTTTTGTATGGTATGCCTGGTACCCAATGTCACATGATGTTTCCGGTATATTACCTGGTTTCTACCATGTATTCGGACTTGGTATTCGACAATAGTCATGCTAGTGACCCACGGATGCATATTGGTGATTCCCGAGGTTCTTCACCAACTTATGCTTCCCATTTTAATATTGCCCTTACGGCCTAGTACTATATGTACATACATGTAGCATCAAAGTCCAAGAAAAGGGTGTTTAGGACTCGGCAGGTCGAAAAAGCAACCAATACCGCATTAAAGCAAACACAGGCAGCACACCGTCTTTTTCTCTCCTTTGCTGCAGGTCAGCGACTTAACAACAAATTGGTGAAAGCTAGACAAAGAGTCGAGTCGCAGTCAGACCAGATTGAAATAAGCTAGTCCACTCAAGTAGAGTCCGCAGATGTTCATTGGTCACTTCGTCACGGGATCGGAAGAGTCACAGCGGCAACATGCAGGTGCAACACGGGTAGCCGTTGTGACCCTATAGATCATATGTGGAAACCCAACAGCTGGCATATTTAATATTCCAATGTAGACCCGGTGAATTCGCAAATGGTAAGATGCAGGGTTGTGCATTGCCTTGATCATCTTGTTTGTCTTTGGCAAATCCTCCGGAATATCAAGTCAGGTTTGTGCTGCATGACACTTACCTATCTCATTTATGCATATAAGAATATTCGGCCGGACAAGTTATGCAGCCTTGTCATGTCCTTTTTATTGTTCTTTTTAGGTGTCCTTTTTAGAGATTTTTAGATGTATTTGTAACCGCCTTTTTACATGTATGAGAATGCGGTGAGAAGCCCACTTTGTGCAAGAGAATTTTCTATGTATAACCTTTAATGTAAAAATGTGACACAGGTTGGATTAGGAAAGGCGAGAGGGAGATATGGAGACATTTCAAAGTGATGTACTATAGACAAATATATTGCACTCAGTGGGGATACTATAAATGGCTTATCACCATGTGATCTTATCAGGACCTTGAGAAATCCGCTGAAGTCATAACTCAGTCTATCGACAATTCACTGAAGACCGGTATAACTACGCCCTATGGAGATTCAATCCTAACGGGACTACTTCAAAAGTTGAATCAGTTGCATTTGCAGAATGAGCGAGAGATAGCCGCTAATCACACGTCATGGCACATCCACGAGTCTATTTTTCCCTTCCCGTACGACCATTCCTCCTAAGACAAGCCCGTTGCAGCCGATTATTCCTACAAGACCTCCAAAAACCATGCATCGCACGGAACCGATTTCAGAGCACCAATGCGGGCCCTGAAACACCGCCTCAGCCCAGCAAAAATGCCGTGTCCGACGAAGTAACACCAGACCTGTCGCATTTGGACCCTTCCCCGGAGGATTATTCGCGGTTCATTTTTCAGGATAAATGCCGGGTGAAAGTACATGCTGGATCTGGTGGACATGGCTGTGTCGCCTACCTGCGTGAGAAATACGTTGAAGAGGGACCCCCGAACGGCGGCGACGGTGGCAGCGGAGGCGGTATCTACATCCAGACCGTCGAGGGCTTGACCAGTCTTCACAAGCTAGCCCGCAGAGGTATTATCAGGGCTAGCAGGGGCCGAAATGGACAGGGTAAAAGCAAGGGTGGAAAACGAGGCGATGATGTCCTCCTCCAGGTACCTGTCGGCACCGTGGTGCGAGAGGTGAGCCGTTATGATCCGGTCGAGGTGGAGTGGGCCCGCATAAAGGCGGCGGAAGAAGCGTCATATCTTGCTAAAGAGGAGAAAGAGGTTTGGCGGGATCCAGATGATCCTGAAGTTGAAGGCGAAGAAGGGTTTGAAGAAACAGAAGAAGCGGAGTTCAATCCTATCCAGCACGATCGATGGGTGCTACACCCCGCCGCAAAGCCATCTGATTTCCTTATGGTGCAGTTCCCGAAATCATACCCGCGACGACAGAATATAGCAGCCATGGAGCCCAAGTCACCGATCTGGCTGGACCTTTCAAAACCTATGGATAAACCCATGCTTCTGGCTGCTGGTGGTATTGGCGGGCTGGGGAACCCACATTTCTCCACACGCGTGATGGGACGGCCAAAATTCGCAAGCCGAGGTGAAGGTGGAATGATGCTAGAGCTCGACTTTGAGCTTAAGCTCCTTGCAGATGTCGGATTGGTTGGGAAACCGAACGCCGGCAAGAGTACGCTTCTCCGCTCATTGACCAACAGTCGGACCCGTATTGGAAACTGGGAGTTCACTACACTTTCTCCCAGTATTGGCACTGTCATCACCGACGACATGAAGGGTCGCCCTCTTGTTGAGTCGAAGGTCCGCCGCACGCACTTTACGATTGCTGACATTCCGGGTCTGGTTGAAGGCGCGCATCTCGACCGAGGACTTGGTCTCGGGTTCCTTCGACACATCGACCGAGCCGGAATTCTGGCCTTTGTGGTTGATCTCAGTCTCCCCGATCCTGTACAGGAGCTCCAGAAACTGTGGCACGAACTTGGAGAGTACGAGCGAATGCGTGATGCAGATCCTGACTCTACCGAGGAAGACGACATCATTGAATGGAACCCATTCACTGAAAATGCGGATGGTGGTCATCGGCGACAGGCACTGGACCGAGAGCCTGCCCCGATATTGAATACCAACCCCGACGGCTCCCTGCCTCCGCTGGCGATGACACCACTGCATTTGAAGCCTTGGTTTGTCGTGGCTACCAAGGCAGACCTGGAAAACACGCAAGACCAATTCCGAGCTCTGCAGGAGTACTTGTCTGGTGTTCAGAATGGCTCGATTGAACACCCATCGGGTCATGAAAGGGCTTGGAAGGAGAAAGTGTGTGTTGTTCCGGTCAGTGCTAAAAGAGGCGAGGGTGTGTCTCGAATTCCCAAATTGGTGATGGACCTTCTCGAATGAAGCATGTATATTAGAAAACTCCCTCGATCGTGAACAAAGTGTACTATATAATAAACATCAATCTACCTTCAATATTCTCCTGCAATCTATAAAACTCTCACATATGCCTGGCATTAATTTTACTCTATCAAACTAACCTAGCTCTAATATATTAAATGCTATGGGACATAGAAAAACTGGTGTATCTTTTTTCCCCCCTACTTGATTGCCAGAATGAGGGTTTAGGATATGGGATGTTTTTCTCTGACGCGGTTGGAGGAACATTGAATTCACCATAACACCATACCTTGGGGGCATGTTGGGATTACTTTGTGGATAGTTTATAGCATCATCTCTTTCATTCCTTCCTTCCTTACCTTCACCTTCACCTTCACCTTTCCCGTCAGTCATGGCTCTTTCATCGGTCCTGAGTGACGCGTTGTCCATTATCGCGGAGCCGAGCTTTGATGACCCCATTCTCCAATGTGACAACCCTCACCTCCAAGATCTTCTCTTCAACGACACCGAGAAAGCGCTTGAGCTTGCCAACTCAAAACTACACTGCTTTCCATTTAAGGATGTGCACATCTGCTGGCATCGACTCTACACAGACGCGTCTATCGTCAAGGCCTGCGTCATCATCATCACGAAATGCGGTCTGAGCTCCAAAGCCAGATTCGAAACCCAGCACTTAGATGTCTCACAACTCATTCATGACACAAAGAATGCAGCTGAGCCGAGACTCTCTCCCGACGCGCCATGGCTATCAGATGTCGTGGCAATCCTTGATAACGTCTTGATCATGTCTGGAGCCCCCCTCCGTGAGAAGCTGGTCCAATCCTTGTTGTCCACGCTGCAGGCAGCTACAGAATCCTCAAAATTCGAATACGATGACACTAGTGGCCCGGAATATCCTACTGCAAAGCGCAGGAAATTCTCGCCTCCTCTCTTCCCTCCAAATGCGATCCGTAACCCCCATCTGGAACATCCGATCCCGCGTTTATCAGCACCGTCATTCGACTCCATCGAAAACCACATTCAAAACATTCGCACTCCACTAGTGATAACAGATGCAATGGAACACTGGCCAGCCATTTCGACGCGTCCATGGTCTTCGCGGAACTACTGGTGGGATCGCACATTTGGGGGCCGCAGATTGGTCCCCATTGAGGTGGGAAGGTCGTATACCGATGAGGACTGGGGACAGAAGATTATGCCGTTCAAAGAGTTTGTGGACAAATACATATGGCAAGGGAAACTAGCCCCGACTGGGGCGACAGAGAACCAGCCCCAGGTCACCAACCTCGATGGAGAGACAGCATACATGGCACAACACGATCTACTCACTCAAATACCCGCCTTGCGCAACGATATCAGTGTACCGGACTACTGCTATATCACTCCACCGGGCCCAGACCCTGGAACACCAGTGTATGAGAAGAAAAAGCGAGAGCGCGAGGCGAAACTTCAAGCACAGGTCTCTGAAACATCGCATGGTCCTGAGTTGGACACGGCACCCAATGAACATGACATAGCCGAACACGACTCAGATGCAGGCTCGCTGATGGGAATCCCTAGCGATCCCATTATCAACACCTGGATCGGACCCGCGTGGACGATCTCCCCTCTCCATCATGACCCCCACCACAATATCCTCGCGCAGGTTGTGGGTACCAAGTACGTCCGGCTGTACTCGCCACATACGCCTGACTCTCAGATTCATCCACGGGGCCAAGAATGGGTCACGTCGATTGATGAGACAGCAGAGCCAGATCCTGTATCCGGGGCTC